ATTTTGGGATGTAGGCAATGACAGTTTCTGTATATTCCTGAAAGTCTGTGGTGTTGTCGTGTGTGGCAGCCTGTGGTGGAAAAGCAGTCTTGCAGTGCCTCTGAGGACCCTTCTGGCCACACCTGTACCTGCTTACGAACTGGTTTGGTGACTTTGACCAGGGGCCTGGGGGAACCCATGGCACACCTAGGTTTCCGCCTGTACTGACCCTTATGCAAAATAGGTGGAATTAAGACACAGTTCCAAAATCAAACACAACTGATCAGTGCTGAGAGTGGTCCTGTTGCTGAGGTACGAGGAATTCACAACTTTAATTCACATACATTGAACTATAAATGAGAAAATGACAGAGCACAATCAAGAATCTTAGCAGTCACAGCTAAATATTGTCTTCATATATGTAAAAGCTGTGTTAGCACTAATATTGATAAAAGGTGTAGTCACAAAACTACAACATTCTTGCTAAAGTTAATTATAATATTAGAAATGTATCATTTAAATGTTTCCCAATGACGACACACCATGTTTTTTGCTTAACTGATGAGTGATTGGTGGGTTAAACTGCAGGTGTTCAGGCACGAGTCAGTCTTGTGGAGCAGCAGGTGGTAAAGATGACTTCAGTCACTGAAATGCTCTGAAGGTGGAATTAATGTTAAAGTTTATTTAAGGATAAATTAATAAAGATTAATAAATGTAGTTATCTCTCTTTCTTGGTTGTATGAAAAATAAGCTTGTTGCCTATAAAAATGTAAATAAAATAAAAATTAATGTACATATAAAAAGTTCTTACCAAGAGAGGATTGAAGACTGAGCAAGTCAATACATTTTAACTGTATTTAAAATGTAAAATGTTAGTTGTTTTAACTGTATTTTCACATTACAGTGAAGATAAACGTTCTTTCCTTCCCATCCCTAATTGCTGCCTTCCTCCCGTTCCATCACACCACCACATATGCAGGGTCTTGGGTGTAGGTGGGTCAGTTTTATTCCACAACTGAGACAATCTTATTACTTAGACTCTCATACATCTCTGTACATATAGGGCTTTTGTGGTGGGCACACTAATGGCATCCAGGGGGATCAGTCTGTTCATTGAGCCTCACCTCTGGTGCCGGTGCCCATTTCTCACTGAATTTCCCGGAGGAACCCACCCGAGGGATTAATAAAGTTTCATCTAATCTAATCGAATCTAATCAATATGAAATTGCATGTAGACATTGAGAGTTCTCGGGAAAGGACACGCTGACACCAACTGTTGTCTGGCAGAGGGTTGTTGGCTGTCCAGTCTGGATCTGGGTTGGGTTGCTGCTCTGCTGCTGCAGAGACTGGGACTGTCTGCTTGTCTCCACCCCAGAGTAAAGGGAACCATCTCCTGGCTCTGGGGCTGGATTGCCCCTGTGGGGTTTTGGTTTATGTATGGGGAGTGTGAGTGTGCTGCTGGCTGATCCCACTCCAGGGCTCTCCTATGCTCTTCTCTGAGTGGGGGGCTGGGGTTGTCCCATTGTGGTCCTCCTGGGGCTACATGTCTCTGGATGTCTGAGGTCTCCTTCATGCCTGCTTCATTTCCTGGAAGACAGGGGTTATGAACACAAGCAGGCTCATACACACACACACAGGTGTACAAACATGTACACATGGACACACCCTGTGTTCCTGACAGAATGTTACAAAACAAATAACAATAAATAAAACAAAACAAAAAACAACGTTACAGGTGCAGTGAGACAACAGAGACTTTTCTGCAACTTTAACACATTTCTTGCAATTGAAGCTGAAAACAGAATTTCTTGGAGTGAGGGGATACTAAGAAGAGAAAAATCTCCACTAAAATAGTCAGAATAAGCCACCTGTTAGTTCACTTTTTGCTGTTTCAACAATGTAGTTGTTTTTGTTTAAAATGTTTTCCTGTTATGCTTGCCAAACTTTTCTAGTATGACATTTGATCAGGTCCTGCAAACAAGTAACATTCTCAAGCTGCAGCATGCAACACAGAACAAAACAAGCATGCAGACATATGCATGACAGGAGCTTTCCTATGTTCTATATTTACCTTAAAAATGCATGAAGTAGTCATATGATGCTAAGTTGTAAATAAAATAAATAACAAACAGTCAAAATATATACACTCAAGAGG